GGTGGGAAGGCAGGGCGGGGACGGTCCGGAGCCCGGGCCCAGAGCAGGGGCTCCGTGTGTGGACCACGGAGAGCTCTCAGCAGCGGGGCGAGGGGGCTCAGTCTCCCACAGGAGCGGACTGCACAGGGCCCCGCGCCGGGCCCACTGCCGGCCTCTCCTTCTCTGGGTGCCCCTCAGCTGGGCGGGGGTGTGTCCTGGGGTGCCACCCCCACCCCCACCCCAGGTACCTGGATGGGCAGCCAGCCAACGCTGTCCTTGAAGTAGAGGGACCTCTGATCCCTGCGGAAGGCAATGGCGTTTCGGGTGTTCAGCCTCTCAAGCTCCTCCTGGTTGTTGACCACAAAAATCTGCGGGGGAACACACTGGTGAGGATTCCAGAAAACACATCTACGGGGGACGGGGGAGGAGCCAGAGAAGCATCGTCCTGGGGCCGGTGCTCAGGAGATGGGGTCGGGAGTCACACTCCCGGGTCCCTCCTGCAGGGGCGACGCCTGTCCACTCCCATACCCTCCCAATCCAGTTCCTGGTGTCTGAGACCGAAATAAAAATGTCCGCCGAGGTTTAAAACTTTTAAATGTGTAAACTGATACTTAAATAAAGATGTCATCTAATCCAGTCATTTAACATGTAGAAATGATGCTTAGCACAATTCTGCTGCTCAGAGGTGTTCAGACGGTGCTGTTTACATCAGGGGAAAGCTTGGGTGCACCGACACATACGTGACAACAGCGCACTGATTTCATGAACCACAGCACAGCCACGTGACAGACAGATTATCATATCTCCCTGCAAAGGACAAACTGACGTCCAGGGTTTACTTCAGAAAAATCCAAGAGTTGATCGTTGTTGAACTTGGGTGAAGAGGATGTGGCGGTCCATTAGACTATTAATTCTGCTTTTGTGCTTATTTGAAATTTTATGTAATTTGTGTTTCTTCAAAAAGACCAAGAAAATACTCCAAAATGAACCCACAACCAAATGGACAATTTGGTTTTCTTCTTTTGTTTTTTCTGATTTTCCCATTTCCTCTAATGAGTTTGCGTCCGGTATAATGGGGAAATAAGTTTTACTAAAAGGCTTTTACTAAGCGCAGGTGGCATCGGGTGACGGGTCACCTCCCCAGATTCCTCCCAGAAGAGCCTTACCACGGGGACTCGCGGGGAACTGGGCCCGTACGCCGACTCCCCATAGGGACGGTTGTTCACATTCGTGGGAGTTCCACAAAGACATCTTCCTGGAGGCCCGGGAAATCCTCTTTCCCCCTTGGGTCCCATTACAAGTTGTCCTAGGAAGCAACAGAGGGCTGTGTTACTAGAACAAAGGAAGAGGAAACCTAACAGCCCAGGGAGGTGTCAGCAACCTTCACGACAGAAAGGAGTCTGAAGTCCACAGGATCTCCGGGAGGCCTGGAGGAGAGACCTTGCGGTCCAAGGTCTGGAGGAAGTGGTGCTCCCTTAACCACACTGGGTGTGGCAGCACCTTTCCCGACCCTCTTTCTCCCTTCCCTCTCTCTATACTTCCGAGACCAGACAGATGGCATGAACTCCAGAACCCTATGCCCCTGGAGGTGACTATGTGCCACAGTGTTCGCTAATGCAAGGTCTGTGGTGGGAGAAGGGGGAACATCTGGAAAAGTCTATCCTGATAAGGGAGAAACATAGATGATGGGAGACTAGAGATTCCTCCTTCCTGCCTGGAAGACAGACAAGATGTCTGATGCTACAGCTGCCATGCTGCAACCGCGAAGTAACAAACATGAGAAGAGAAGCCAACATGCAGGAAAAACCAGGGCCCCGTGGGCCTGGGGCCCTGATAGTGACACTTAGAGGCTGAACCCCAGCCAGCCACTGTCCACCTCTGGACTTCTTTGTTGTATGAGAAAAACAGCCTTCTTTTTGTTTAGACCATTATTAAGGGGGACTTCTGGCTGATGACCCCATTGCTGGCTGATAACGTTTATTATTTGCTGACTCATTTGATTTTGTTCTTATATATGGGATCTTTACAAAGGGATTTCTGAATATGGGTTTCTTTAATCCTTCTGGAAGAAGATGGAATGTCTGAAAATGCTAGGCCTGTTTGTTCTTCCCTGATACTAAGAGAGTGTCCTGGAAAGATGTGATCAGGAACTTTACTCCCTGCAAAGTGGGAGCCCTGCTGGGGAGTAGGTCTCACCTGGACTTCTCAAGGCCCTGATGCCTCGGCCACCCTCCAGACCAATTCCAGTAGGATGGCTGAGAATAGCACCCAGGCATTGTGCTTTTCAAAGCTCTCACAATGGTTCCAACGAGCACCGAGTTTGAGAGCCGCCAGTCCCGGGAAATGGTCTTGGCACAAAATCCCCCAGCAGGCTGTCCCCACCCCCTTCCCAGGTGCCTCCGCACTCACTCCTGATCTGCGTTCAAGCATCACTTCCTCAGGGAAGCCTCTCTGCCTCCTCACGCTCCCTCCCGTCCACATCAGATACAGTCTCGTGGCCTTTCCCTCCCAGCACTCATCTCTGGTTGTATCCACTGTGAGATTGTCCAGTCTGGGTCGGTCTCCCCCAGGAGAACGCCAGCCCCGCCAGGGCAGGTGGGTGCCTGTCCTCACTCACCAGTAGGGGGTACCCAGCAGAGGCACTGTGCATGTCTCATGACTGAATGAGTGCAGACTGACTGGAAGGAAAAGAAAGACTAGAGCTTCAGCTGGCAGGAAAGTGCCAGAGCCTTCCAGCAGGAAGACAGAGAGGGGACAGGGGGGACTGAAAACGGAAATAAGGACGCACCCTCCTCCCAGGAAGGCGGGGCGGCTGGGAGACTGGCCAGCCGTTGGTGTCAGGTTGTAGAACTGTATCCAGGGCAGCCAGCCACTGGGGACACGGTCTGCAGGTCCCACAAGGGCAGGGGAAAATGACCTCGGGGCCCCTGGGGAAGCGGCTGCAGCTGGAGGAGGAGACCCCAGTGCGAGCGCCCGCACCCCGAGCCCTCCTGAGCTGGAGGACAGAGGTGGCCGGGACCAGAACGCTGCCAGCCTGAGGGGGAAGGAGGCCTGCCAGCACCTGATACCAAGTGAGGGCTGTTTGTTCTAACAGGAAATACGACTGCAATCCTGTGGTGGCGGGGGCACCCATCTCATGTTCTGATATTTTCAGTGGAGCTTGGAGAGACAGAGCCTCCAGCAGCCCAGGAATGTTGCGGGGAGGCAAGCACCTGGGGAAGATGAGGTGGGAAGGCCCTGCAACCGAGGGCACGAGAAGGCATGGGAGCAAACTTCCCGCAGGCTCTGTAGCCCCGATGACACCTCCAGAATCACGACCTCAGAGAGATTCAGGAGTGTGTCCAGTTATCCAGCTACTTAGTGGCGAGGTTGAGATTCGAATTTATGTTTGACTTAACACTCTGACGTTCAAAAGACACGTGGCCAAGAATACTGATGCTCACAGGAAGCTGGCAATCCCCAGGTACCGTGCTGATTCACTTATACCTGGCCTGGGTGCAGGAAGGACTCAGCCAAATTTCTAATCTGGTTGTTGCAAATTACATCCTACAGACATTTTGCCCTGGTTCCCTCGCCCACCCCGCCATTCCCTCTTTCTTGGTTAACCTGGGTGACAAAAAAGGCCCCCTCCACCCCAGCACCATCCCACCTGAGCACCAGGCAGCAGACGTGGATGCAGAGGGGGCTCCAGGCGGGACGGCAGGATGCGACAGGGAGCCTGCTTCCCGCCACCACAGCCATTTCTCTGCGTGTCCTCCCAGCTGTTGGGGGGCTTCCTGACAGCCTGCATTGACCCAAACTTCCCCAACTTGGCCTTTCGGAACCTGTCCTGTGGGCCTGGCCTCTCCACCGTCCATGAGAGCCCGAGGACCTGGCTCTCCATCTTTGCCCGGGGAGCCTCCCATCTCTGCTGGCTGGAGCAGGTCTGAGCAGGGGTCTTGAGGAAGGCAGAGGACCACAGAATAGTCTGCACATCCCCCGGTCCTACACTCTGCCTCGCAGAGGCTGCACGACCATGTAGGAAGGTCTCAGGACCAAGAGTGGCCGCCAATCAGCTGTGTGACCTTGGGGGGTGTGTGTGCAGTTTCTGAGGCCCACAGTTCTTATCTATAAGAGGACGCCTGAACTAGACCAGGGGAGTTGAACCCGGGGTCCACAGAGCCCACGGATATCCCAAGACGAATTTGGGGCAGGGCTTCTGGAACTCTGGGAAGTAGTGTACAGAACCTCAGAGGCAGGAAGACACATCCTTTGTTCCCTGAGAGTGAGTCTGGGACTTTGATCTCAAAGGTGCTGTCCCCACACCTTGATGGTGCTCCAGCTGGTCCCAAGCAAAGGGAAGTTCTCTTTTAAACTCCTCCCATCCCCTCTCTCCCCAGCCCCCCAAAAAAGTTTCCGAAGAGCAGGATTATGGCCCCATTTTCTTCAGCCTCTCATCCTGGGAGGTTCCCCAGAGGGAAGGACTCAAAGGAAGGCACAGGGAGGGGACACCAGTCAGAGAGGTGGCCCGCTTCCTGCTTGCCTGCTGTGCGGTGACCCAGGGGGACAGACTGAGAGCCAAGGTAACCCAGGTGTGGGAGAACCTGCTGGGGCCAGCCCCACCCACCCCACCTGCCAGGTGCCATGAGGAGGCAGAGCTGACTCGGCTAAGACTGTGCCTCAAGGACCTGCCACCTGGAAGAGGAAACACATCTGCAGAAGACAGTCACCAGGGGAGCGGCCACAGCAGACGCCACGTGGGACTGGGGTCAGGGGCCGGACACCCATCCGGTGAGGGATAAGGAAGGCCTTACTGAAGAGAGGGCCTTGGAGGAAGGAGGGGATCTGGTGTCATGGACCAGAAGATGACAGGAGAGCTATTTCAGGCCACGTGAGAGAGAGATGGTGAGAATGTGCTCATCAGAGAGCAGAGTCCCCTGGAGGGCAGAGGGCAGCGAGGCTGGGGTCTGGGGAGGAGGGGGTGGGCAAACGAGCTGCATGAGAAGGAGCTGGAAGGCCAAGGACAGAAGGTAGGATCACGCTGACCCTGCTGCAGGGACGGGGTCGCAAACAACCAGAGACGATAAGACAGAACAGTGGGCATCTGCATGAGCTGCCGAGGGTCTCCAGGCCCCAGGAGGGAACCAGGACTCAAGTCAGATATGCACAGCAAGACCACTGAAGCCTTCGTTTGCTGAGGTTGCTCCCAGCCCCACCCCCCGGGCTAGTCCTCAGTTTGTGAGCCCCTAAATAGCCTGAGAGAGTCCCTTCCAGGCAAAACCCAGGCTTCAGGCCACGCTCGCCATCCCTGGGGCAGGCGGCACGAGGTCATGGGCTCGGGGAACGTCATGCAACCAGAACAAGGAGGCAGAGGACCCACAGGAACAACCTTCCCTGGATCATCCGGTCAACTCAGGGACAGGTCAGGGGGCGTGGACAGAGGGCCTGAGCTGCACCTCCGTCCGGCTCCCCTAACAAACTGAAACAGGTGTGGCCAGACGGCTTAGCATCACAGTAACTGACACTCGTTCTTCCGTTGCTTTCTCCTCTCCCAGTTTCAAGGAGGTGGCAAGACTTTACGGCTTTCTTGCCCTTGCTAAGACTTGCTGACTACTTGAAGACTTCTGTCTTTCTGCTTTCTGTTCTCAAAAGAGAAAAGCTCCTCAGGGAGGGGCGGTGTAGGAGGAGTGTGAGGAGGGAGGGGCTGAGGTCAGAAGAGGAGGGGTCCCAGCAGACAGAGGAGGGACAGGGACTCCTGAATCCTGGAGAAGAGGTGAGATCTCAGAAGGAGCGGCTGTGGGCTCTCCTGGGGAAGTGGAACGCTGGGGACCAGGATTCTCAGCCTTGGACATGATCTGCTGCCCAAGCCTGCCAGGAGGAAGGTGGTCACGTGTCTGAGCACGCAGCCTCCGACCACGGGCATTTCAGAGGTGAACAGGGCCGGTCAAAGGCTGGAGGGCCTTCCCCTGATGTTTCTCTGCCATAACTCCCCAGATCTTTGGCCCCCACTGCTTTGTGGCAGTTGAAGAAGGGAAGAGAACCCCGATAATGCCTGATACTGACTTCTCCTGCCAGCCTAGCAGGATGGAGTCTCAGGGCCAGTTTTAACTGGGTTTAAAGGATCTAATAAAATGACATTTCTTGGCCATCCCATGATGTGGTTGTAAATATATTCCCATAAGCACGGCGGGGAAAAGTGCACTGTAAAATTAGAAGGAAAATTTGGATCCCTTTAAAATTGAGGACAAAGAATCTTGCACTGTCAGGAAACAGTATTCCTGGGCCTGGAGCTGCTGTTTATACAGACGATGTGCCGTGAGAGGCCTTACTTGGAGCTGGCAAACTAAACTGGATCCTGGGCTCAGCCAGTGAGACAAGGTGAAGCAAGGCAGCGGCCTTCCTCTGCCCTCTTCAATGTAAACATTTGTTTCTTTTTAGAGATTTCTTTCCATATTCAATGCAAATCAGTAAGGACCCTTTCATAACACCTTGTAAGACAGAAAAATTTACAACGTTGTCTTTCATTCTAGGTCTAAGAAAATTGCTTGGAGCCATGAAATATTTTTCCAGAAAATGGTGTTAGTTGATGAAATAGGCACCTGCCATTTTTCATTTAAAGTAGAAATGGCATCACCAGTGTAATTTCTTTTTCGTTTTCTTCTCCTCTAATTGTTCTCCAGAATGCTAAAACAGAGCAGAATTGTGTTAATCTCTCTTGGGTAAAATTTGAAGAAGCTAAATCGTGGAGAAATTATCAACATATTGAAATGCTTTGGGTCATTTCTAACTCGAAACACAAGGCAGGCCTCTGCTGACACCCTGTGCCCTCTCTGGGAGGCTGGCCAGAAGGATGACACGGTCTATCAGGTGAAGAGGGGTAGCTCTTACCTGCAGATGGGAGGCCTGGGGGGCCTGGGGGACCTGGGCGGCCAGGTGGACCAGAAGGCCCAGGTTTGCCTGGTGGGCCCATCACTCCACTGTCTCCCTTCTGCCCCTGACAGAGAGGAAGACAGAAGCCGTTACAACAGCATGACATGGCAAACTTCCTTCCCCACTTACCTCTAAGTTGGGGACCACTTGCACTTTGGAGCAAGTGCCCAGGGGAGGATACAGTCCCAGAGGGACCCCCAAGCTCCTAAAAACCTCGTGGCAAGTGACATTTGAGACAGTGATGGATGCAAGTCTATAGGCATTACTTTTTTTTTTTCAACTGAAGTACAGTTGATTTACAATATTGTGTTAGTTTCAGGTGTACGTCATAGTGATTGGGTGGTTTTTATTTATTTATTTTTTTTTTGCAGATTACTTTTTTTTGCAGATTACACAGGTTATAACAAAATTTGGGTATAATTCCCTGTGCTCTACAGTAAGTCCTTGTTGTTTCTCTCTTTTGTGTGCAGTAGTTTGTGTCTGTTAATCCCACACCCCTAATTTTCTCCTCTCCGTGTCCCTCTCTCCTCCTGTAACCATAAATTTGTTTTCTACAGAGTCACTCTTGCTCTGTCCTGAAAACAATCAGAACCAATCCAACCCACTCCCGTCACCAGCCAGGTGAGGGGACAGAGGCTCAAGCAAAGAGCAGGGGTTCACGCAGTCACCTGGCTCCAGGCCCCTGCCTGCTCGTAGGACCTTTTCAGTTTCAGCACCAGAGCTGTTTCTCCCCTGTGGCCTCCCGTTGCTCTCAGGACAACCCCCCCGCCACCCTGCCCAATGGGCTTTCCCAGCTTATCCTGGCCTTCTTTCCGGTGCTTTTGGTCTTCAGAGCACCAAGCCTTTTGTTTCCCTTCTCAAGACACCTCTCTGCCCGTAACGCCTCTTCCCTCCCCTCTGCCTGGTTAACTCTCCCTCCTTCCTCTCTGAGCTAAAGCATCACCATCGCGGAAAGCCTTTCCTGACCTGATCAAGTCTGTTCTCCCGTCGAAGGCCCTTTCCTTCCTGGAATTCATCCCCCATCATGACTCCACCCGCGCTCCTTCATGTGGTCACTGCATCAGTGTCTCTCCAGGAGACAGCAGCTCCCCGTGGGCTGGAATCTGTCCACATTGTTCCCCTCCCTCCCCTGGATCAAAGAGGGAGGAGGAAGAAGCTGAACGCACAAAGGGGACGTGGCCTGCTGGCTCCAAGGTAACAGCTCTGGGTTTTCATCTTGGCCACAAGACCGGGGAACTCATGTCATTGCTCTGTGCCTCCATTTTCTCATCTGTGAAATGGAGCCAGGTGAGAGACACCTGCTCAGGCTTGTCGTGAGGCTAACAGAGATCTCAGAGGGGAAAAGTGGTTTGTGCAGAACCCAGGGCTGATGACCACGGCAACCCGCCTGGTTTCACCTCTTTCACGTGTGTAGAGGAGTCCTGATTCTTAACAAGTGGCACACCTGCAGGTATGGTCGTCCCACCTGGGGTGTCCTCCCCCTGCCTGCTCTGGGAAGGTTAAGAGCAAACATTCCCTGCCACCCAGGGCTGCCCTTAGGAACGACCCCAGAAACCAAGGCTGGCACAGGCTGGAGGTCCTTCCCCCGAACACATTGCCAACTGTCCGCTCTTGCCCTGGGCTACCCAGGATGGGGACTGGTGCCTGAGGGACTTAGCCTGGTCCCCTTCAGACGCTGGCGCTTGGCAGCCTTGCCCACCTGGGTGAGAATCCGGCCTCCTTTCCATCCCAATGGTGACGTGTGACCTGCCGCCTGGTCACCGGGGCCCTGGGGGCTCTCTCGGCAATGTCCAAGATGCTCTTAGACTCTTAATCTGGGACTTGGAGGTCAGAGTCTGTCTCCAAGTCTCTCCTCATGGAGGGATCTTGAGCCTTGGCCAAGCTGAAGCATCCTGTGAGGCACCAAGACGGGGCCCTGGTGGCCCAGGAAGTCACGCCGTCTCAATATAGCCGTGCTCAAGGCTTCTTTTCCTAACAGCCACGTCAGCCGGCTCTGAGCATGGGAAGCACCACAGCTCGAAGGAGCTGGATGGGCTCCTCGTGGTGGCCTCAGCAGGAATGGAATATTCTTGGCCATCTGCTCAGAACAGCCCGTCTCTGAGCAGGACTCACAAAGCAGCGCTTTCCAGGAAAAGCACACTCTATTCCTTTATTGCCACGGAGTTTGGTGACTCCTGTTCAGGAAGCTCTTCCGGCTCCTTGACTGAAGGTTTGGATGATCAAGTCAAGAGCTGCTCTCCAGGCGGAAAAGCTGGTTTTGAGTCTCTAATTTCTCACACCCAAGACAGCTCGGCTGAGGGTCCTGGGGACCCTGCCACTTCTCTGACCCTCGGCTTCCTGGCAACTCCATGGAGGGAACTGGGTCGGTGTTCTCTGTAGTCCTTCTGGATCTGGAGTTCTGATCTGGATTCGATTCCAGGATGTGGGTTGACTGACAGTAACCTCCAGAAATGCTTAGCCCCACTGGCTCAACAGACACTCTGCACCCACTGGGCAATTCATTCATGGTGAAAAGAAAGCACGAAGCCAGGTTCCAAGGCTGATGCTCAAGCCTCCACTGACTAGACAGGCCCCGGGCTTTGGGGTACACTCAGGTCACTTATAACATCTTGCAGGAAGATGGGCTCATTCCCCTTAACCTCTCTGAGCTCCCAGACATGGTTCTGGTGTCATTTTTACAGTTGCTCCAACAGAATCATTCTCAACAGGGTCAAGAAGCCTTCTTGGCTTCAGCCCTGAGCAGGACAAGACAGACACTGCCCAAGGGAGGAACTGAACAACAGAAGCCAGCTGGCTTCTTGAATCCCAAATGGAAAAAATTCTGGATGGGACACAGCAGTGGGGGAGAACATTTTCTCTTTAAGATTTTTTTCCCTTTTTTTCTTCTTTTTCTGAGCCTAGTTTTCAGGAAATTGGTTATCTATGGCATCATTGTGAAGCCAGGACCATGCCACCAACTGTAAAGCTTTAAAAATTGAACGGGAACATTGTGATGTCAGAAGTTCTCGTGGCATCTTTTCTGTTATCCCAGGATAATCGTGTGTCTTCATGCCCCCTCATGGTTTATCGGTGTCATGTCTGATTCAGGCGCAGAGAACAGAAGCTGCTCTCAGCTCTTTTCATAAAGCACTTAGTGCTGTCAAATAAATAATGAAGAAAAGCTTTCTAAAAATTTTTTTTAAGTTACTGTGGAATCTGATGTATCCGGGTTGGAGTCTGTGTCATTCCTAAGTTCACTTCGAAAAGGCCGGAACTGGCTTCGTAGTGTTCCCATGGCTCAGAGCCCGGCCCAGGTCAGACTCATGGGGACAGCCCTACACACAGCGACAGCCCACGCCGGAGCCCCAGCCGTGTCAGAGCCTCTGGGCAGCGAGGCAGAGGCGCTGCGGACAAGCAGACGCAAACCTGGAACTACAACCGTTACGCATGGGGCAGGAATCTGCACTTACCCCAAGACGATTTTGATGTAAGCTAAAATTGGGGAACCACGGATCTAGCCAAAGGAGAGAATGGAAATTTAAGAATGGGAAAAGCCTTGTGCCCACCACACGGGTAGGTCTCAGTGTTACATAGCGTCTGCTTAGGGTTGCCTCGTCCAAGCAACCCACCAGTGACTCGTTTACTAAGATCCGATGCAGAGATTTAAAAAAGATGTTTAAAAATGCTTAATGAAAACACTCAATATCGTTAATTATTGGAGAAATACAAATCAAAACTACAATGAGATATCACCTCACACCAGTCAGAATGGCCATCATTCAAACCTTCATGAACGATAAACGCTGGAGAGGCTGTGGAGAAAAGGGAACCCTCCTACACTGCTGGTGGGAATACACTTTGGTGCAGACACTATGGAAAATGTATGAAGATTCCTTTAAAAACTAAAACTAGACTTACCATGTGATCCAAAAATCCCACTCCTGGGCATATATTTGGAGGGAACTTTAATTCAAAAAAATACATGCACCCCAATGTTCACAGCACACTATTTACAACAGCCAAGACATGGAATCAACCTAGATGTCCATCAACAGATGACTGGATAAAAAAGATGTGGCATATTTATACAATGGAATACTACTCAGCCATAAAAAAGAATGAAATAATGCCATTTGCAGCAACATGGATGGACCTGGAGGTTGTCATTCTAAGTGAGGTAAGCCAGAAAGAGAAAGTAAAATACCATACGATATCACTTATATGTGGAATCAAAAAAAAATGACACAACTAAACTTATTTACCAAACAGAAACAGACTCATAGACATAGAGAAAAAACTTATGGTTATTGGGGGAAAGTGGGTGGGAAGGAATAAATTGGAAGTTTGAGAATTGCAGATACTAACGACTATATATAAAAGAGATAAACAACAAGGCCCTACTGTACAGCGCAGGGAACTATATTAATATCTTGTAGTAACCTATAATGAAAAAGAATATGGAAATGAATTATGTATGTATACGTGACTGAAGCATTATGCTGTATGCCAGAAATTGATGCAACATTGTAAACTGACTGTACTTCAATAAAAAATGCTTAATGAATATATCTGCAGTAACAAGTAAAAACGTGTATCCTGTGATTTTTAAGTTAAAAATTTAGGATACAATAACTGTATATTGGATATAAAAGGAACAAATGACTGGCAAGTCCACAGAAGAAATGACACTGAGAGGAAGTATACCAAAATGCTAACGTGGTTATGCAGGGTGTTAAATCTTTAGATCATCTCCTTTCTGTTTTTCTGAATTCTCTGTTTTCTGTGATGATCATATATCACACATATAACGGAAAAGGCGATAAAATGCCAACAGACTGACAGCCAGAAGAGGAAGGGGCACCGGCCTCAGGAGGGCAGTCCATTCTCACAAAGAGGAGCGGTTCCCTGTGGCACTGGGGTGGCTCAGAGCAGCCCAGGCCAACACTGTCTTCTCTCCTCTCCACTCACAGCACGTGGTTTGACACAAGAGCCTGCTGCCCAGGGGGATTCAGAAGGAAAAATCCCCTGAGTAGTGCTGATAAAGAGGGTCCTTCACCAATGGACCCAGAAGTCCCTTGACCAGCAGGGAAATATCTGGGCTGATTCCAGAACTGCGTCTGTGTCTGGGCATCAAGGCAAAAGGCAGGTTTTCTGGGCACACAAACAGATCTGGTTCTGCTTTGGTTAAGACAGATCCATCCTATGGACGGAAGTTGCACCCTTACATCCAGACTTGGATACAGTTGGGGGCATCCTACCCCACCCGCCTCAAACCCCGGCTAAACCTTGAGAACCCAGGTGCCCCAGAAGTGGCGCTGCCCTGCCCACCCACCCAGAGGATGCTGCCCGCGTCCACGGAGTGTCCCTGCCCCACCCCGCTCCAGGTCAGGAGGGTGACCTCAGGGACATGGTCAGCCCTCGGGGTCCTTACCTGTTTGCCTCGTTTTCCTGGTCTTCCCGTGGGCCCCCGGTGTCCTGCCATCCCAGGCTCACCCTTTGGCCCCATTTCACCCTGGAAGGAAGAAAAGAGAAGCAAGAGGGGAATGTGGTCTGTCCAGCTCTGTCCAGTCACGGGCCAGGAGGGCAGGGTCCCTGGTCCTTCCTGGTCTTTCCCAGGTGGGCTGCTCCAGGAGATAGGAGAGCGATGAGGGGAGGAGGGGTTGCCCCGGGTGGGATTTGCCATCTGAGGGGGCGTCTGCACAGCAGGCAGCACGCATCCTGGGATCCGAAATAACCACCTGTGTTTGTCGCACGTGCCTGCGGCAGCATCGGGGAAAAGGGCTTGCTCTTTTTGTTGAAATTTTATGTTGTGTCTTATTTTCTATTTAGCATAGATTCAAATCTGTGGGTTTTTGAACGGTCAGAGGCAGTTCTGACCATGGTCGTCTTCAGGAAGTTTCTGCCCACGTTCTGTATCTCCTCGCTCTTCAGTCCGAAACGGGCTTGGGTTCTACCTCACTTCCACTAGATTCAGATACAAACTCTTTGTCGGGGGGAGATGTTTCAGGCATAAGTTCAGATAATCAACAGAATTCTTCAAAGAGGCATGGAACGCAATACTCCTGGTGGAGAAGCCCTATTTTGAACTGTGAGAACCAAATGCACCGAGTGCAGAATTCCAGAGTTCGAGGCCAGCCTTAGTAAAACCCGTCTCTCCACCTTGGTTTCTCTTCTCCTTCCTGGTTCTTCTAGGATTCCAGGCCCACTTGTGGATTCTTTGGATCGTGACCACCGCAGGGCATCACTCCCACCTCCAGCAGTCCTGCTGCAGCCCCGGATGCAGCACCATGAGCCAAGTTTAGCAGCTGGAACTGTGACAGTGTCCGTGACTGAGCAGCCAGTGCCCGTGAGGAGCTGCTCCAGCCACTCTGAGACAACGAGGAAGCCCTGACAGCTTCTGGCTGGGAGCTCGGAGGAGCTGCAACACAATGGAAAATTCCAGGGGACACCAGTATTCAGTGAGGATCGGGCATAAACTCTGAGATTACCCGTCAGCTCCGCCAATGTCACGAATCTGTCAGGCTATCAACATCTTGCCTCACCAAGAAGTGTCCTTAAATCTGCGATTTCTTTCCAATCTGTCCTGTCCTTCGACATGCCAGGCAGGGAGAGAGTGTCAGAGGGTGGGGTGGCTTCTCCGTGGCCCTGATGTCTGCACGGTTTCCCTCGGCTGTTTAGAGGGGGCTGAGGAGTGTCGTGTGTGGCTGGGAGAACCCAGCAGCCCAAACAGCATATTTTGGAGGGGGGGACATTGTCTGAAGGAAGTGTGGTCTTCTCACCAGCAGCTGGAAGCAGCCAGTAATGTCTTGATCTAATTTCTCTCCTAAGACCTAATTAGGGTTATCATATCAGCTCTGTCTTAAAACAGGCTGCCGTGAGGGAAGAGAATTCTCTACAGAAAGTCTAGTAAATAGGGCAGAGACCAGAGAAGCTGCCAGACTTAATCTTACAGTGATGCAGTATTCCTTCATGTCCTCTGTGGCACTGAATGAAAACCTGGGCTAAATATTTTTTAATAAAATTATTTCTCTCTTTTAATGTTTCCTTTCATTTGCTCAGATAGTTCATCTATTTCTTTGCAACCCAACACTCTACGTAGGAGAGCAGCCACCAAGTTTTCAACAGCTTCAGTCCGGGATAAATTATAATACTGTCAGATGACTGACATTATTTAAATAGGATCTACTGAGGGGAGACAGTCAGATTACAGGATCATTCAAGTTTGGAGGATAAAACTTTAGGGTGAAACTTGGGAAAAAAAATTAGAATCCTAAGAGAGCATCCCATTTGCCCGTTTGCAGAATATCACACTCTGAGGCTTAGGGAAAAACGAGGTTCCAGTGTTAACACCTTACAGCCTGAGGAACCGCCATTAGGTTGGTGGGTGTTGGACCGTCTTTGTCTCTGCTCTCTGACACTTCCCCTCACCCTGCCACCAGTCCTCTTCCCCAGACCCTGACCTGAAGGAAAACTTACCGTTAACATTAAAAATCTGTCAGTCAGCTGCCATGTTCACAGTTTTCATCACATCTGCACCCCACTCCATTGTTACTCACTGAGTATTTTTTAAGTCAACTGGGTTATAGCCTTTTTTATTAAGCCTTGTCCCAAGCAACATATCCATGAAATCCCATTAAATACTTAAATACTTAAATAAATATTTAAAATAAAAAATGTAAATATCAAATAAAGACCATTGAGCCACCTAAGCCCACTGAAGTAACTCTGCGTGGCAGGGGCGCCCCCGAGGGAGCCGAGCTGCGTGCGAGCAGCAGCGGCTTTAACCGCGGACGCCCGACCCCGCGCACAGCTCCAGTCCGAGTCCCTGGGCACCAGGCCTTCTGCTTGTGAGCAGTCCCACAGCCCTAAGAGACAGGAGGTGCAGAGAAGGCCCTCTCCACTCGGGTGGGCGTCCTTTCCTCCCGCTGAGCTGGAGGGACGTCTCAGGAACACGTTCCTTCCCAACCAGAACCTCCCACAGCGACACCTGATTCCCTGACTGAAGGACGGAGCGGCAGACCGCTTTTTGCTGTCCTTAGAGGGTCTAATTTGTTACTGAGGCCTATTTTTACTACTTCTAGGTACTTACTTTCTGCCCCAACATTCCAGGAAATCCTGGGAAACCCTGTGAAGAGAACAACAAACGCAGTGACTCCTCTGAAATGATGCTTGAAAGGGCTGTGAAGAGCTTGGTCAGCCATTTTCAAGATAGAGCCCTGTCAGTCATTGAGCCAGCCAGCCATTCATTCAGTCAGTCAGCCAGACAGACAGCCAGCCAGCCAGCCAGTCAGTCAGCCAGTCAGACAGACAGACAGACAGACAGCCAATCAGCCAGTCAGACAGTCAGACAGACAGACAGTCAGTCAGTCAGACAGTCAGCCAGCCAATCAGCCAGTCAGCCAATCAGTCAGACAGCCAGCCAGTCAGACAGACAGTCAGACAGCCAGACAGCCAGTCAATCAGCCAGTTAATCAACCAGTCAGCCAGTCAGTCAGACAATCAGTCAGACAAGTCAATCAGCCAGTCAGTCAG